GATCTCCGAAAATCACAACATTTCTTATTGCAGTAAGGTACAATTTTCCTTTCAAGAGTTCGGGTATATGCAGACGGGTACATTCCATAGGATTCATACCGCAAAGGCAGCGGCCAAAGTTCCGAATTCGCACTGAATGCGAATAACATGATTTTTGAGTTGTATTCGCATATTCTATCAGCAAACTCGATATCTTCTTCGTCTAGTCTACCTCCATTAGTCCAATTGAGCAAACTACTAGCAGCAATGCTAACAAGTGACGCAGGTTGCTGCCTCACTGTGAGATACGGAATGATTGTGTTAGGATCTTTACTGGTACAAATTTCATGTTCGTATTGAAATTTAAATCCTCCTTCATCTTTCATTAAAGTCCATTTTTTTGGTAGACATCGTTGCACATTCTTACGTCCTTCATGCGCATCGTCACAAACAGTTTGTTTCACACATGTTATCTTATCTGTGATACGTATCCGTCCTAGACATGGAGCACGACGTCTTTTCAAACGAGCTTGCAATAGTTCCTTGAACATTTCATTTTTCACTTCTTTCCCTAAAAACGGAAATATTTTGAAGGGGTTTATCTGTGTTGATTCCTCCATGATCGGTTCGTGACCATTATATACTTCGTTCCCCCTCCTCACACTCCTAGAATGGAATGCGATCGTATGCAGTGGTAAACAGTTTCAGGAATTGTGCTGCTCAACAGCCCCGAGGGAACAGTTCCAAGAATTGTTTTCCGTGCTCACGCAGTATTCTTGTGCGATGTCAACAGTTCCGAGAATCGTTCAAGGCGATAGCGCAGTAAACAGTTCCAAGGATAGTTTTCCGAGCTCATCCGTGCTCACGCAGTATTCTTGCGCGACGTCAACAGTTCCGAGAATCGTTCAAGGCGACAGCGCAGTAAACAGTTCCAAGAATTGTTTTCCGAGCTCACGCAGTATTCTTGCGCGGCGTAAACAGTTCCGAGAATCGTTTACGGCGACCGCGTAGTAAACAGTTCCAAGAATTGTTTTCCATGCTTGCGCAGCATTTTTTTGCAACGTAAACGGTTTCGAGAATCCTTCAAGGTGACAGCAAATGGTCAATAAGTCCAAGTATTGTTTTTTTATATTTTGAATCTCTATATAAAGCGTGACGGACTCCACTCGAGTTAGTTCACGCGCGACTAGTCATCGCAAAAAGGCTTAACAAAAAAAAAATTCTGTGAAAATATATTCAAGCATGATGGATTCCAAGAAGTGTTTAGAAATTTTGGACCTAATCGAAGGAGCATACAGGAATCAATCTGTTACAAGTTCTGAGAAGTGGATAAGAATGTGTGAAAATTACATCAAACTGTTTGAAAAACTTTTGAAAAAGGACAATGCTCAACTATCGATGGCAGATAAACGGCGAATCCAAACGATGCTGTCCTTTCTGCACAGCTATTGTGAGAAGTTCAAAAGAAAAGGACAACAACACCATGGCGGGAGACTTGGTGAGACGTCAAATGAAGACAAAAATGATAGAGTGACTTGGAGGATCTGGAATAAGCCTTTAGGAGTCGAATGAAGACAGGTGTTATCATAAACCTAACTCACAAGGATCCTCAGTCTTTTCTTGAGGATGCAAAGGCTCTTGCTATCATTCATTTGAAGGATGCTCTACGAGAACAGGGCAATATCAAGGCTAATGGAATCCTCACCTGTAAGTTCCAAGTCATGAAGAATGATGAAATGATTGAAGAAACGAAATATTTCAACACCAGAAATAAAATCATTCTGCCCACTATCAACATTGAAGAGTAGTTTAGGGATAACATCACAGAACCACTTCTAGCAAAAATTGAGGATTTCCAAGAGAAGGACTCTGGATGGGAACTGATTGAGGTTATCAATCTCACAATGAATATGAACAGATATTCACCATTAGCAGCGGGTTCGAGCACGTACATTCCATTACCGCGATGCATACAAACCAAAAGGGCCGTAGTCAATGTTAGGAACAGAGATGCATTTTGTTTCCTATGGGGGATCACAGCAGCACTGTATCCAGTTACAACTAACGCTGATAGGCTGAGCTCATATCCTCATTACTCTTTGACTACTCTACCAGATANCTCATTACTCTTTGGCTACTCTACCAGATGGAGTCACGAAACTTGATTATACTGGACTGGAATTTCCGATGAAACTCAAGAACATTCCCAAATTCGAACGAATGAATGGTCTGTCGGTAAACGTATATGGAATTGATAATGATAAAGATATAGTTCCATTATATTTAAGTAAAATCAAGTCAAGCTGGTCCAAGATTCATCTATTATTGATCTGTGACGATGCTCAGATTGAACGTGACACTGAACCAATTTATCATTTCACTTGGATTAGAAATTTATCTCGGCTTGTTGGATCACAACTGTCTAAGCATCGACATCATTTATTTTTTTGTGACCATTGTCTGAGCCATTTCCAAACACTCAAATCATTCGACAGCCATAAGGCAGATTGCTTTGCAATCAATGAATATCGAATGGTGTTGCCAGAAGAGGAAGCAAATATCTTGACTTTAAGAATTATCGATTTAAAGAGATGGTCCCCTTCGTAATCTATGCAAATTTAGAATGCATTTTGGAGCCAAACAAATCTGAATCTTCATATCAGAAGCACGTTCCTTATAGTGTAGCGTTCTATCTCCAGTGGGCTTTTGACGATTTTCGCTCACATTTCACGATGAACCGTGGACCGGATTGTATTGAATGGTTCATAGATGAATTATACAGAATAGCTAATGAGGTCGATACCTGTTTGAACATGAATGTACCAATGGAGCCCCTCACCCGTGAAGAGGCTTGGGATTTCGATATTGCTCAAGTCTGTCACATCTGTGGTAAATCTTTTACCGAAACTGATGGAAAACATCACGATCATTGCCACTTCACAGGCAAGTATCGTGGTCCGGCGCACCCTCAATGTAATATCAATTATCAAAATTCTCATACAATTCCAGTAGTGTTTCATAACCTCACCGGATATGACTCACATTTTCTGATCAAGACTCTCGCTACAAAATTCCCAGGCCACGTAAATTTATTGCCTATTAATAAAGAAAAATATATCTCTTTTACCAAAAATGTTGATGGGACAGTTGTTAATTTGCGTTTCATAGATTCCTTCCGATTTATGGCGAGTAGTAGGGAAAAATTAGCATCGTATCTCAGTGATCAGGATAAATCAATTATTCGAAATTACTGCAACGATGATGAAGAGAAATTCCAACTTTTAACGAGAAAGGGAGTTTTTCCTTATGAGTATATCGACTCCTGGGAGAAACTTAATGACACTCAGTTATCTCAAATCCCCGATTTCTATTCCAAATTGAATGATGAGAGTGTCTCTGCTGAAGACTATGCACATGCTCAGAAAGTTTGGGATACTTTTAATATTGCATCTTTGGGTGAATATTCCGATCTTTATCTGACGACAGATGTCATCCTTCTGGCTGATATTTTCCAAAATTTTCGAAGTACTTGTTTTTCCGTGTATGAACTTGATCCCCTGCACTATTTCACAGCACCAGGATTAGCATTTGATGCTATGCTGAAATGTACTGGTGTTAAACTTGAGCTTCTTACAGATGTTGAAATGCATTTATTCATTGAGAAAGGAATTCGAGGTGGATTAGCTCAATGCTCAAATCGTTATGCTCATGCCAACAATAGGTATATGGAAGAGGAGTTCAACCCTATGGAAGAGACCTCTTATCTAATGTATTTCGATGTGAACAACTTGTATGGTGCAGCCATGTCGCAATACTTACCATACGGATCATTCAAGTGGATTGATTCATCAATTATCGACGTGCATACAATTCCAGATAATTCAAACAAAGGGTATATCCTGGAAGTCGACTTAGAGTATCCCAGGGAGCTCTTTGAGACTCACAAAGATTTACCACTTTGTCCAGAACATGTTGTTCCCCCGAATAAAAAAATGGAGAAATTAATCACGACATTGCTCTCCAAAAAGAAGTATGTGATTCATTATCAAAATCTTAAACAATGTCTGAAGTTAGGGTTAAAATTGATAAAAATTCACCGAGTACTGGAATTTAATCAAGCGCCATGGCTGAAACCGTACATTGATATAAATACTGATTTGCGAAAGAGATCCAGGAATGAGTTTGAGAAATTTTTTTTAAAATTAATGAGTAACTCAGTTTTCGGTAAAACTATTGAGAATGTGAGGAAACAAAAAAATGTAAAGCTGGTCACTAAATGGGAGGGCAGGTGGGGAGACAAAGTTCTCATTGCTCAACCCAACTTTCACAGTTCCACCATTTTCGACGATAATTTGGTCATTATTCAATTGAATTGCACAAAAATGTGTTTCAATAAACCTATTTACGTTGGCTTCTCAATTCTGGATCTATCCAAAATATTTATCTATGATTTCCATTATGAGTCCATTAAGAAAGAATTCGGTAATGAGGCTAAACTTATGTACACCGACACAGACAGTCTTTTGTATGAATTTAAAGGATGTGATATTTATGCATATATGAAGGAAAATATTTCAAAATTTGATACATCAGATTATTCAAAAGATAATGCATACGGAATGCCACTCGTGAATAAGAAAGTAGTGGGACTTATGAAGGATGAATGCAATGGTAAAGTCATGAGCGAGTTCGTAGGATTAAGAGCAAAATTGTATACTTTTAGGATTCATAGGAATGAGAGAGCAAAGAAACGTGCCAAAGGAGTGAAAGGATCAGTACTGAAAAGGATCAAATTTGATGATTACAAAGATTGTCTCGATAATCATAATCATGTTGTTAAGTCATAATATTTGATTAAGAGCGATAAACATGAAGTTAGGACTGTTGAGCAAAGGAAATTAGCTTTGAGTTGGGAAGATGACAAGAGAATATTGTTAACAGACTCTTACGATACTGTACCATACGGCTATTGTAAATAAAATAATAAATGTTTCCTTATAAAAAGAATCTTCTTTATTTACTTAGTTATTATTTAACTCATCTTTATTTATCCAACTATTATGAGAACTATCAAAACCTAGCCATTTAACAAAGGCTTTATTTCCACATCTTCGAAGGATTTTCTCTATGAGATAAACATCAGGATTCGTAACTCTCGTTAATTCCTCTTGGTAAAATCCACCTTCAATTGGGTTATCCTCATAATCCGTGAGTTTATAGGTGACAGGATTGGTTTTCACAACTTGACTTATCGTGAATATTTCCGTTGTCCAATTGGGCGTATATCCTTTTTGGAATACATTCTTGTATTTGCTGACGCGCACCTTATCTCCAACCTTAAACTTGATTTTTTTTGTATTATAAGTTTTGAGTTGCCCAAAGACGTGATGTAAGAGGTACTTCTCATGAGCGGCAGTAACATCCTTCGGTTTCATTTTAATTGTGCGATGCTTGGTGTTATTATAGGACTGAACCAAATTCGTGACAATGGGAATCCACTTGTATGTCCCTTGCAAACTGAACTGTTTCCACATTTTCTCCTTGAGCGTGCGATTGAATCGCTCACAGATGGATGCTTTGAGGTTACTGAATGTTGAGTACATAGTAATGCTATAATTCTGCATTAGCCTTTTGAATTGACTATTGTAGAATTCTTTACCTCTATCCACGTGTAACTTCTGTGGGACACGGCCCTGTTCAAGTATGGACTTCATAGCACTGCTCACATCCTTTCCATTCTTCGTCTTCGTAGGCACAGCCCAAGCATACTTCGAGAAGATATCGATTACTGTCAAAAGGAATTTATAACCTCCATTTTCACGATAATAGGCACTCATGTCCACAAGATCTGCCTGCCACGTCTCATCCAGCCCGCGAACTTCAACACGTCGACGTGGATAATTTCGTCGAGCTGGTCTATGAAGCTCCTCCACGACTGTTGCCTTCTTGTTGTCCATTCTCCAATGCAATGAGACGTCTATCCAAATCACCTATTATTTCCGAGTTGCGTAGGGATAACTGCTGGTCAGTTTCTTCTTCTTTTTCTATTCCCCTCAATTGCTCATTTATATTTGAATATAAACCATCCAGCATTAACTTGGTCTCATGTGCAATAGAATCTTTTAGTGTTGTCAGTTCCTCAGTTATATGTTGAATGGTTCCAGAATGACTGTTCAGTTGTTCTTGTACTTCTTCATCACCAACATTCTTTCGTCTCATAGTCTTCAGAAAATTCATCTGGAACGATTGGATTATGGTTTCAATTCCATCAATTCTACCACCCATAGATCCAGTCACATTATATATGAGGCGAAGTTCCTCTTTCAACATATTGCGTATCATCTTCAAGGATATGGCATCATTATCTTCTTCAGGATCTGCTAAATTACATAATCTTTGATGATCCATATCATATTGTCCATCAGACGTACACTTAAAGCCTTCACCAGGAGCATCCCGGCTGCCGATAGATCTCACAGCATCAGTGCCCAATTGGCGTCCGAACACGTCAACACTCATGTTTCAAATGATGGATTATTTTGATTACAGTTCACTAAATAATAATACGAGCTTCACGTAACTCCTCCATTATTGACATGATTTCATTGGTGTGACTCATATTGCCAGCTGACTGTGAGGCCATAAGCAGTCGAAGTCTATCCACTAACTCATTAGGATCGTCCCAATACACATAGTCCATTTTTCTAGGTTTTACTGATGCAATCATATCATGAGGGAGGGCTGTCCCAGTTTTCTCCGATTTGATGAGATTTTCAATGATATTGCGATATTTCATACTGTGACCCGTTCGAAAAGGTCTGTCAGGTTTATAGTACATTCGATGTGCATTTGTACTCTGTATAATATTACCGTAGGTATTTTTATCAGTTTCGGTTATGAAGCTCATGTTAGGTGATTTCTTGAAGATCAATTCAATTAAACCAGGAGTCAAAGGATAGTCCTCACCCTTGAGGTTCATCGAATCTCCATGAAAAGTGACTGAAGAATCACCAATCTTCATACCGTTTCTGAAGTAACGTACATCCAATTCTGTATCCAAACCGCTTTTCTCACAATCTGTATCATAGCGGTCCAAATACGTTCGAAGAAGTTTTTGTGAGTCTATAGGAGAATCCAGTTTAGTTGATGAAATATGATCAGTTGGAGTCATTGGTGATATCTTTCTCGCAGGAGTGCTTGTATATCCCCAATCTGGATCAAATGAGGGCTCTTCCAGAGATTGATATTGAGAAGGATCATATTGAGAGTGATATTGAGATGGATCATATTGAGAGTGATATTGAGAAGGATCTCCATAATCATAGCCCTCAGTTTTCAGCATCCGCGTAGGAGTACTAGATATCTTCTTCTCTCTTTTCGTTTTATGTGAACGTTCCTTCGTTTGATCCACCAACTTCTCGAGAGGTGTTATCACTGGTTTAAGCACTTCACTCATAGCCTTCTCAGTAGTTTCTCTACCCAGTTTTATCATTTTATGCTTGCGGCGAATACCGTCACTCGCTTGAGTAATATTCTGCAAGGTATTTGTCTCCTTCTTGAAACTTTCGCTCTGCATGTTGACACGAGTACGTTCACAGATGAACTACCTTTAGTTTCGTTGGAAAGGGCGTATTTATCTTTTCAAGAAACTGTCAAATCCTTTTCGATATCGACCGTTATCAATTTCACTATCTTTATCAATCATAATAAAACTGTATTTACTTTCATTCCAACACTTTGCACATAAGTCCTTGAATTCTGTAAATAACATATCAGTATTCACATGATCGTTATAAATATGTCTAAGATTCATATCATCTTGGCGAAAGAGAATCAGCAGATTGGTGTTATCTCGCACTAGATGTTTAGGTACATGGGCATACGTTTGACAAAGATAGAAGCTATCAACATCCATATGTCGACCCATGCAGAAAAATGCTCGTACATTATCTTGTTTTTCACAGGCTATATCATCGAATATCATAATAGAATTCAGTCGAGCATCCTCAAGCTTAATGACATCATTATGCTCACTGAATGGAAAATATCCTATATCCTTGATGGGTGAAATTAGACTTTTGAGCAGCTGGTACTTGGGTTGATTGAGTGATTTTGAATAGACGTAGATATTCTGAAATCTTAAACCATTGGGGTGAACTATGAGTGCCAATAATGCATTTGTTTTCCCACAATTTGAGGGTTCACAGATAACTCCACGTACACTGTTAGGTAATAAAGGTCCATGACGTGTTTTCTCTCTTTTTTTGTTACGTGTCAAATTATCAAAATTCATTATTGGTAGTCTAGTCTTCTGCTCTTTGAAACGCATGGTCGATGACTGAACTTGAAATATAAAATGCATCATCATTTATAGATTTTTTTTGGAAACCTATAAATACTCGCTACTCAATTCATTATCAGCCAGTCCTTGTACAACCATGAAAGTGTGCAAACGTAAGAGAGAACATCAAGGCAAAGGTTTAGTGAACAGTATCATTAATAAACTTCCTATAGAATTGCATATACCAGGATATCAGTATTGTGGTCCTGGGACACTTGATGCAGCCTGTAAAGAATACGATATAGCCTATTCTGAGAACCGACATAACCTAACTGCACGACACGCGGCAGATAAAGTTCTTACAGAGAAAGCCTGGGAACGAGTCTCAGCTAAAGACGCAAATTTTGGTGAAAAAGCTGCCGCTTGGGGTATAGCTAACACTATGAAGGCAAAAACTTCTCTAGGCATGGGAATGAAACGAAGTAAAAGAGTCAAGAAAAAGAGGGGAAAATGTCAAGGTGTTGGTGGGAAGAAGAAAAAAATAGCCTTGAGACAAATTCTACAAGCGGCTAAGACTTCTATGCGTCCTGGAAGTGATGCTATTAAAACAGCGCTCAAGGGTGCACGAGATGCAGTTAGAAGTAAAGGTGGTAGGAAGCAGGTGCGGTTACCCCGCGTCTTATCTGTCCCTGCTAAAATAGGAGGTGTATTACCTTTCCTGATACCTTTATTTGCAGGTTTAAGTGCCACCGGAGCTCTAGCTGGTGGTGCAGCAGGCATAGCAAAAGCTATCAATGATGCCAATGCTGCGAAATAAGCTCTAGGAGAANACTTGAAACCCTACAAGAAAGGCTTGGGTCTTCATTTAAAAAACGTTTAAAGCTACCACACCGAGCTCTCACCGATATCGACTTGGTAAAATACGCTAAGATCATGAGAATCCCATATTTTCGTGGCGTGTATATGAGAAACGACATGCCCATATCAGGTCCACGTAAAAATGAATCAGCAATTGTCAACCTTGATGATAAAGATGGACCTGGAACGCATTGGGTCGCATACAAGAAACGAAACAATGAATTCATCTATTTTGATAGTTTTGGTAACCTTCATCCACCTCAAGATTTGATACATTATGTCGGTGTTGGTAGCATTATTAAGTATAATCATAAACGATATCAAGATTATGATACAGTGGTGTGTGGGCATCTGTGTTTAAAATTCCTCAATGGAGAAATGATATAAAATATGACGACATTACTCTATAGACATCAGTCAGATATCACACTACGATGAGGGACTCTTTTACGCTAACATTATCAGGCACTTCCTCAGTGCTGGAGGCTC